AAAACTATCAAGTGTTATATTTGTATTTTAGTTTGTCTCGTGAGCAAAGCTTGCCATATCGAAGTCATAACGGATTCAACAAGTGACGGTTTTTTAAGCCTTTTGTAGCGTTTTGTATTTCGCAGAGGATATGTTCTCACATGTACAGCGATAACTCTATAACATTTGTTGGCTGCAATAATGAGCTTCTAACATTGCGTAAAATAATATAATCCCAAAATTTAGAAAATTATACAGTCCAATCGAAGATTACTTGGAGCTTTATGCCAGATCGATTGCACGAAGCAGAAATTAAATCATCTAAAAACATAATTTAAAACGAATTTTGACAGGCACGCATTTAACGTATTAGGAGTTCTACACTTTGACTGCTCAGGATGAGGAAATTTTAAATTCGAGACCCCTCACCCCTATCTCGTCCGATCCTAGTGACCTTGAGGTGATTACTCCTGGACACTTTTTGATCGGTCAGGTGCTCACAGCTTTCCCGGAACGCGACCTGACACAATGCAAGATTAACCATATCAAACGCTATCAACACATCCAACTGATGAGGCAACATTTTTGGAATCGTTGACAGAAAAAATATCTACATTGCCTTCAGCAACGTAGTAAATGGCAGTGCCCAGGAGATTTTAATATACGTGTTGGAACTATGGTCCTGATCAAGGAAGACAACGTACCTCATATGTGCTGGCCACTAGGAAGAATCGTCGAAGTCCATCCTGGAAGAGACAGTGTGGTGCATGTCGTGAGCATCAAAACCAAACAGACTACGCTTAAAAGAGCACTGACCAAGGTGGCAGTGTTGCCAATTTGCAAATAATGACATTTAATATTTTGTTATGTTTTGAAAGTCCAGCCTTTCAAGTGGCGCGGTTACGTTATGTACTTCATTTCTATGATGTATATATTTATCATGTATTGTATGAAATATGCTTAGCAGCGGCAACATCGTGCCCAGACAATATTCAATATTCAAATATTTTTGAAAAACAAGGTGGTTTAGTCACTTATCTATAATTTCTGATCTGTGACGTATCACCCTTTTTGTGTATAGGAGTCTTGGTCTTCCTCGACGACTTTGATTGTCGAATTCGAGGACTCGTTAATAACGCAACAAACCACTGATTTTGCGTCGACTTTTGGAAGGTTCCTCAAATATTTTACACATCCTGGATGGATAACCACCCCACAGTTGTAACACTGAGGTCCCGTTTGAGCCACAACACAGCGCATTTTGCAACATTTTTGGAGATCGTCAAACCAACGTTTCTCACTAGTAGTCAATTTCTTCTTCTCTCTTCTCTAAGACCATTCCTCCTCAATTCCAACGATATCGTACTCTTAGAAGATCTGTATTGATGAGCCAGTCTCCTTGTTGACATTCCACCCGACCGGTGCGAAAGAGTCCCGAGAATGTCTGTTAGAGAAGAGTCATCGATCTGTCGGACCGCCCTCCTCTGAACAGCATCGAGCATGAATAATGTAGTCGGGGCGGCAGCACCCCAAACGTGTGAGCAATACTCGAGGCTAGGGCTTATCTGGGCCTTGAATAGAGTGAGAAGGTCATGTGGACAAAAGTACTTCTTAGCCCTAAACAAATAGCCTAATATTTTCCCAGCAGCTGCCGCTATTGACGAAATATGCTCGTACCAGATCAAGCTCTCGGTGATCTGGACTCTGGCAAGCCAAAATCAACAGCTCTTTGGTATATGTTTGTTCCTTGAAATTCTAACGCCGGGTGTCTAGGTTTGGTATGACCTTTCGCTAATGTTGTGTGTGGCAATGAAGATCACGGCATCACATATATCGTCGCTGGAAAGACAAAGAGGCGTAACTCCAATTTAGCTATTTTACAGGAGACGCGATATACGCCCGTTTGTCTTTTTAGGTTTAGTAAGAATAGGAGATCCGCCCACATACTGATTTGCCATAATTCGTTAACTATAAGAAGGAACGATACGCCACTTCGTCATATTATAGATATCCACTTTTAGAGATTTCTGGTGGTAGCAACTCCAAATGGCCATTTTTCGACTCGCGTCCCTTTATCTTTCCAGTGACGATATTAGAGAGATGAGACAGAGGGAGAGAGAAAGTTGGAGGAAAGAAAGATGTCAAGAATTCGTCATTGAAAGGACGATAAGTTAAAATAGGCATACCACCAGCGGCTTCGCTTGGAAAATATCAGAAACATATGTGATTGTTTCGTGAAATTCTGACTAGGAGCGCACAGTGGGACGAAAAGTTTGCGGTCGAAAATAAACTTCGTGAACAAAATTCGTAACTTTACGGATGACATCAAGATGACAAGACCTTTTTGCGTTTTTAGCCCTCTGTTAGGCGCGCCTAATTTTGTCACGTGGATGGTCGCGCGGGTGACATGTATCGCCCACCTCTTAATTGAAAAAATACTGACTTTCTATCAAGTTTTATCTAAGTGATAATTTAATTGAGTATATAAAAATGTAGTATACAGGCCAGCGTCTCGTCGTTCATGACAAATCGTAATTTCCACACAGTTGGTCAACTAGATCTACACCTACTTTTGTCGAATTTTGGGACAGTGTGAAACTAAAGTGATTTCTTCCTGCAATACGAAAAATGGATGCTTCTTGCTCAGATTCCGAATTATGTTCACTATCTGAAGTATGATTGACCTCCTCGACCTCGTTTTCATCCTCAGCAATGTCATTATCACTTAATTCTTCGAATCACTTCAGCCACACTTGAGGATCTTTACTTGTCTCCATTTTGCGTCTTTTATCGTTTGGTTCCGACATATTTTCTGAAAAGAACACAATCTCGAATGATGTAATTTGAATGTAACGGTCAGAAGAAATGAAAAATAGCACAATACAAACTATGCAAATAAAAAATGTGTGATAATTATAAACTCACTAACTGATATTAAACAAAAGTTATGTAAAAAAAAATAAATAAAACATACCTGCTTGTTAAAGTGACGCGGAGAGGCGCGCGGGTGACTCTTGTCGCCCAGGCAAATTATCTGTGCATTTACTTCAACACTAAAAATACGGCAACGTTGTCGATCAAGGAGATGATCTCTCAATCCATGTTGGAAAGATACTGAGAGCGGCAGCTGCGTAAATTTATTGGATATTGTTTTGCATTTTCAAATATACACGTGGGTGACAATGGGTTAAGGGTTAATTGCAGCTCTTTTGAGAGAAATTGTCTGAGGGATACCCACCGGGAGGAAAGTTCTGCCGGGCCGCTGCACAGAATACTGCTGCCCACTGTAAGGCTTGTTGGACAGATCTTGTCCACTCTGCTTGAGCGGCATCTCTATCATTTTCGTAAACTATAATCGGGATATTAGGAAACGATTTGTAGCGACGGGAGGCGTCCCTGTCCAAGGAAACGTATCATCAGTACTCATCAGTACCCACTTCAAGAATAAGGGGAAGGTCATCGCATGAGATGTCATACATAATTCTAGAAGAAACACGGAAATCGCAGTTTCTTAATATCGCGAAGTCTGTAACATCTCGTGCCTGCAGACAGGGGTGATGTGTCGGTTCATCGGTGCTGTAAATGACGCACCCATTTCGCATCACATAGTTATATACAGTGTGTCCCAGATTCAGTTCTCTATAGAGGGATCTCTGTTATACATACAGTAAAGATTAAATGGGGAAAGAGGAAACTTAGTGCTTTCGACAGCCGGCTGCAGATTTACGATCGGTCAATTGGTTTTGAAAATATCAGCAAAAAACCGAAAATGGCGAAATTTGTTTTTTGCCAGTAAATACAAAACGGTTAATTTGATAGCTGTCAAAAAGTGAAATCACTGGGACATTTAGAAAAAAAATAGGATAGCGTGTATGACATGTCTCAATCGTCTTTTGTTTTCCAGCAACCTGCCTCAAATTGCATTTTTCTTAAGACCGCCATATTGGATTTTTGATTTTTGAAAAGAGTGTACAATTTCCAGTCTAGTGATGTCTCACAAGTGCTTAAAAGATTGGAGTATTTCCGAAATATCATCACACGTAATGTTATGTATTAGTGTTTTTTCTAAGGAGGCCATGATTTATTTGTCAGAAAATAACATTAATGAGTAAGGCATAAAATCACAGAAACGTCTTGAATTTTCAATAAAATATTAACGTTAATATCGACTTCTCAACAAGTCGAATGTTTTGGAACAAACTCCCAACTAGGAGTGTGTTAAAAACATTTTAAACTCGCAATCGTTTTAACCGTACGAGATTTCGTAAACAAACGTATACTGTATTACTCTTTCTACATCCATCATTCGGAGTGGTTTGTCATTAGGCAATCTCAAAAACAACTAAACTAAACTCTACTCCAATGTTGTGTGGTTATTTAGAAGTATGAATCCAACGGATTTGAAGAATTTCAAGTATCTGCGTAAAATTGTCGTCGCATTACCAACAAGTGTCATAACCTGTATTGTGCCATAACTTTTTTGATTTTAGTCGGATATTTTTACGTGTCGTCTAAAATCTTATTTGAAGACTTTTTCGTTCCTGCCAAGACTTTCGATTGAATCTCAAAAAATTCGTTTTCGCAACCTTTGTCGTCGAATAAAAAGTTTTTTCGCAAAAGTTGGTGTACCCATTTTATGCGTCCATGTTTTAAATACCACCTTGAACAACTTGCGTGGGAAGAACGGAGTCAATTCACTTGACGCCATTTTTTCCAAAGCTTTTCAAACAACGACATACAGAAGGAGATGCTCTCTTTACTATAACAAACCTTGGCAAATTTAAGACGCAGGCTTGTAATAGGCTATATCTTCCGTGGGTAACTAATATTCTAGGATGAAAAACAATACCAAAACGCAGTCCATTCGGGGCGTAATTCCCGGAGCTGAAAGTTTCCTCATTATCCAGCGAGGTTTTACTACGCTCGGGTTAACTCAAATAACGACGACGCTGGTGAACGGGAAGGCAGGTGAAGGAAATGACCTCCACTAGACACGCACATTGTAACAATGAATGCGCCAGGAAGAAAAGGCAGTCAACCAATCGAACTCTGCTCCAGGAACTTTGGAGGAAAGCAGAAAAATAAAGTATAAGGAACCATTATTGTTGTAGGATAGACTTAAAATGCGGATTCACTAAAGGTTGATTATGTTAGTTATGTTAGTCAGCCAATCAACTAATGAGAACTGCCTCGAAAAATACGGTGTTAATGTTCAGGGAGAGAGAAGGGTTCAGGGTCACTTCAGAGAAAATAGTGCAATTTCCTATTGATTTTATCCATCTTCACAGATTCGGTCTCGTTAAAAAGGATCTGATGTGCGCGTCTAATGGAGGTTAAGTTTTGTTACTTTAGTTCTTTTTAATGTTAAGAAAGTAGATGGGGTTTATATGTTCTAGAACGACATCGACGTCACACGACCATGTAGCGTCAGTTACCTTGAGATCGTGAGCTTGAAATCGCGTGACCTTGAAACGCGAAATACCTTGAAGCGATGTGACCTTGAAATTGTAAATGGTATTGACGTTGAAGCGATGTGACATTGGGAGGGTAAATGACCTTGACCTTGAAGTCGGACAACCTTCAGGATGTGAACGACCTTGAGGTAGAGATGGGATCCGTGGATTTATGCCTTTGAATATGTGAAGAGATGTATCAGGATTCAGTTGTTAGCAGACAATGAGTGTAGTGGAGTACAAAAGCAAGTGACAATAAGTGATACAACATGTCGAGTGAGTTGCAGGCTGCCTTTCTATTAGTGCAATCAGTGTTAGAACGGGACATTTTGGTACTGGACCAGAGTTCAGATATGAATCAATCCTGGAGGATTATATACCATTATATTTATAAACTAGATTTCAATAAAGAGTATTAAATACGTGTAGTGTTTCACAGAAAGACAGTGTCTATTGAATAAATATTCACAGGTCACACAATTAAGTCGCCTTTTTTGATCCATGAATTATGACTACTGTTACTATACTATCTGCAAGCCCTGCTACACGAACAGTATAGATGGCATCAAATTTTTTAAGGTATTCTGCGTATCCAGGTTGTGAGATCATTTCTTTTACTTGTTGTTGCGCATCAGTAACGGCAGTATCGATTCTCTTTATCAAATACTGTAGAGTTTGGATCATTTCCTTCCAAAGTTGATATATATGAAAGGTTGCTTTTATCAGGGATACTAGAACATGTGTCTTCAAGAAAGATGATTCCTCCTTGTGGAAGGTACCGTCTGTACGGATCATCCTTTATATCTTTGCTAAATGATCTGTTAGGCGTTGATGTCGTTGATTCTAATTTCATAGACTCATTCTTGATCACCGGCGTTTTTCTCCAGGAGCTTTTGTAATGATCCCGAAATGGGCTTCAAACGCCTTTATTATGTTTCAGCTATGTCCGATTTCAGAGCAAGGTATTTTTACTTGACAGCGTTTCTTGTTTTCATTAACTTTGTCAATTTGGAAATCACCTTTATATATGCAAAGTTGTGTTTATACTGTAACTTCTATCAAGTTGGATATACTTATATACTTTCTACAAACATATGTTGAAGGATTTTCTGTATCTACCTGAATATTTTGGAGAATCCTTATCGATAAAGCTATGCGGTTATTGCCAGCATAGCGAACAAACAAATTCAGCGAACGTCATGTCGATATTGATGTGATGATCATAAATATGTTTTGAATTCAAATTATCTTGCGGAAATAAAATCAGTAGAGTGCTATTATCCCTCAAATTATGTCTAGGTGCGGCAGTATACGTCAGACAAAGATAAAAGCAATCCGCGTTTCGATGTCGTCCGAAACTAAATTACCGTTTCATGGTATCTCTTAGCTATAAAGCTGGAAAAATCTTTAAAAAGAATAATGGAGTTTGGTTTAATGATGTCCGGGGTAACAATGTTCTCATCTGCACTTAACTCCAAATATCCAATATCGCTTAACGGTTCTAGTGTAGCTTTCAAATATTGTAACAGTTGCCTTTTATTGCCGATGAATCATATATTTAAATTTTTTTGTTGTTGTTGCTGTCGCACAGGTTTAATTTGAAGTAATGCAGCAAGAACTTGAGAAGGAAGAAACAAAAGGTGATAATCTAATCTAATAATCTCCGTAGCATTTTATTTTTATTCATCATCAAATTATTAAATCAATTTTATTGACAAAAACGACTAGACCGGCCCATTGGCCATTTCCCAAGGGCTTGTTTTCAACGGTGTATTTAGCTATATTTCTCTCACGTAATTCATAATCAAAATAAATAACATGCAGACATTTACCTGTTATCAAGTTTATTTGAAATAACACACATAACACATGAATACCACGGAATAACTATAATTTTTAATTTGTATCCGTTGTTTTTCTTCTGTAGTCGTTTGGCTGCCTGTATATAGTAGTCAGCATCTTCCATGTCACTGAACAATTTGGGAACTGAAACCAAATATTTCTCAATCAATTAAACATAATCCATCCTGACCTATTTAATAATCCAAAAATTTCAATTATTAAATTTAACGTAGGTACATCAATCGCACTCCATTTTGATCATCTTTACAGTTTCTACCACTGAGATTATAAATGTGTAGTCAATTTCCCATGCATTCAGGTAATTAATTGAAGAATTTACTCACCCTGATATGGACAATTTCTTCTTGTGTTGCCTAGTAATTTCCCTGGTTCACCTTGAGGAATAATTTTAGTATTCATCTCCAAATATTTTCATAAATAACTCGGTTGCTTCCATCCCATGCTAGATCTTCCACCGTCAAGAAATCAATTCAATCTCGAAATTTTAAAATTAATAAATAAATAAATAAATGTACATCTATAAATTGATATCACCTTCTGAATTAAAAACTATTTGTGTTGCATAAATATTATTACTCACCTATTGAACTATGTATTTCTTTTACAGTCAGATGAATTTATTATTGTTTTCTGAAATCTTTCAATGTCAAAGGCTGATGTCGCTTATGTCGAGGTACTATTCTGCGTACCGAACTACTTGCACACCTCGCTTGTTCCGCATAGTTGCCAATTTTATTTCAGAATTTCCTTATGTTTATTAGTCAATCAAATTTATAGGCAGATATGACAGTGTTGCCACATTTATTCACGATATTTCCTTGAATTTATATTAGGAACCTTCTCATTTTGGGATTAGCCGACAACGTTTGGCTCTTAATGGTCAGGCGTACAACTCACCGACTATAAAGAGAGATAGACCTATCTGTTTACAAAATTAGTAATTTCCAACATTCGAATGTTGTCCTTATTGTATTTTACATAGTTGCCGGATTTCACAGCAAGGTAAACCAAGCAAACGATTATTGTCGTAGTTCAAAGATATTATATGATATTTTAGCATATAAAAATGACTTCAGACAAAATTTATGTGTCTTGAAATCATAACTCTGGGACGGCGACTATAAATCTAGAACAGTTTTTGTCCGAATATCATAAATAGTTCTAAGAATAATGTACCTACGTCAAAGAATATGTGCGCAATTTGGCAACGCAGGTCAATCTTTACTACGATCCATACTACCTGACTTCATTCATGTTTTGGGATGTTTTGAGTTTGTACCGGTTTGTGCGTCGTTTTGCGAATTGTGTTTTAGTGCATTTAAACTATCCAAAACTATTATTTGATATCGATCATGGTGCGCCAGTGCTGTGTTTGCAAGATATACACTCGTCAGCGTGAAGCAGAAGGCTTATCTTTTCATGGGTAAGTGAAAATAAAAATGTTAGGTTAGAAAGTCCAGTGGCGTGGGGACGCATTCTCGATATCCGATAGTTTAATGTTTTTACAATGAATGAACATTTTAAAGCACTTCCGTAATCTTTTAGGATGCCTAAGGAACCTACAAGAAGATCTATTTGGGTATCTCTTCTGGGATTTGAGAAAGACCACCAGTTCCCAAAGTATGCTTACGTCTGTTCCAAACACTTTCAGAAAAGTGATTTTGTAATTATGCCTGATGGAGCTAGGCATCTCAAATGTGATGCTGTTCCAACTGCTGTGCATTCTGCCTTTGATCTCACAAAGAGCGCCAGGTAATATTATAATAGTAATTAGGGTTAAAAATGATAGCTTAAGCATGATATCACAACCAAAAATTGGGGCAACAAAAACATTTTACTTTGCTCTAGTTATAAGGTTGCATTTTATGAAAATATACTTTTCTGCAGACGCCCTTGTATTTAAAATTTCACCTTGCTGATACATATTTAGATGCATATTTATTAGTTATGTATCAGCTATCATTTAAGGAGCACATAATTAATAATTATCTACCTGATATTATGTGGATATATGATTAAATTATATTTATTTATTTTAGTTCAGAGTCATCGCTTAGTCTCAGCTCTTTTAGTAGTCCTGGCAAGGAACAAATAGGAAATTCCTCAAGCTCAGAGCCCCATTCAGAAATTGACATTCTGGGTATTACCGCCACTTCAGCAGATGGTGGCCCTGTTGTAAAACGGTTAGTATATGTTTAGGTATTTTTAATATTTAGGGATGACAACAATACATGGATCATAGAATATTGATGTTTTGGCATTGATGGTTATATGTCAATGTATTGATGCATCGATGGTTATATGTTGATGTATTGATGCATCAATGGCTGTATGTCGATGGAATGAGGCATCAATGGATTTTATCAATGATTGATATCCATTACATATAAATGTATTTCTTTTGAAGCTTGAGATTTGAAGACATTGTTGCTGATGTGAAATCCGATGTACAGCTACAGAGACCAAAGAACAGCTACAGATTCAAGAAAAGCACAGGTAATAAATATTTTGTATCTATTCGTATTAGCAATTTTGTATCATATCACTATATTCTTTTGCATTTTAAATGACTAAGAAAAATATTAACAGCATATATCTTTTTGAAGGTTAGAACATGAAAATGTGTACACGGAACCATCTAGAGAGCTACCATCTTATGCAGTTGCTAATTCAAGTTCATCAGATACGACTACTGCATCAGAGGCTGAAGAACAGCTGGACTCTGTAGCAATGCCCGCCCTTACATCTGATTTTCACACGAAACCAGTTGCAGGACTAAAGAGAAAGAGGTAAAGTTTTTTTTTAGATTTTTAAAATAAACACTACTACCAGATATTTTAAAACCATTTTGGTCTCAGTAATAACATTGTTAATGGATTGCTTTTTAACCGACATTTTTATATCATAAGAGTCGAGATCAGCGGACAATGGACAAAAGGAAAGCCATAATCAAAAATCAGATTTTAAATGTGTATCGCCTCCTCTTTGATGTCATGTTGAACTGAATTTTATCTGAAATTAAAATTGTTATCGATATCATATTATTTTATTCTTTTAGGAAGAGCCGTTATGTTGGTGATATGTCGAGTGATGATTTCTCCTCACCTGTAAAAGCAAAAAGAAACTTTTGCATAATGAAAAATGTAATACAGGCCCAGAGAAAAAGAATTCATGGACTTCGAGTCACAGTTAACTCACTCAGGAAGAGAGTAAGGACACTAAATAGCCTTATTAGTGTTTTAAAGAAAAAGTCTTACATAAGTGACCCATCTGAAAATGTTTTGAGGGTAATAATTTTAACTATGCTACCCACATATTCGATATCTAAAATAAGTCTGTTTCAGGCATCGTTATCCGGCTGATCTCTTAAAATTTTTGAGAGAATGTTACGAGGGCCATCATCACAGAAGTATGACCCTTCAATAAGGACTTTTGCATTAACCTTATCTTTTTATTCGCCTAGAGCTTATAATTTTGTCAGGAACACGTTCAATAAATCACTGCCTCATCTAAGCACTATCAGTAAATGGTATAGATCGGTTGATGATTCCCCAGGCTTCACCCAAGAAGCACTGCAGGCTTTGAAAATAAAACATGAATACGCTTTGTCACAAGGTAAGGCAGTCTACTGCAATTTGGTCTTAGATGAGATGTCCATCCGTCGCCAGGTGGAATGGACAGGCAGTAAATTCTCTGGGTATATAGATATTGGCTCAAAGATCGACTCGGACATTTTACCTGAAGCAAAAGAAGCTTTGGTATTCATGCTTGTTTGTTTGAACGGCTCATGGAAAATACCAGTAGGCTATTTCTTTTTAGATGGTCTTAGTGGAAAAGAAAAGGCGAGATTGTCAAAAAATGTCTGTCTTTTATTCACGAATCTGGTGTTATAGTGACGTCACTAACATTTGATGGTGCGCCAGTTAATTTTACTATGGCTTCTCATCTAGGAGCTAATTTTGATGTCAGTATTATGAAAACCTGCTTCACCCATCCTGTGACTGGTAGCGATGTGTTTATAATTCTAGACCCATGTCACATAATCAAATTAGAGCGAAACACGTTTGGGTCTCAAAAATATTTAATTGATCAAGATGGAAATCAAATAGACTGGAATTTTTTAAGCAAACTGGTAGATACACAATATAGTGAAGGCTTGCACTTAGGCACTAAAATTACTGTTCGCCATCTGCAGTTTGTTAGAGAAAAAATGAAAGTGAAAATAGCTACCCAAACGCTGAGTAAAAGTGTAGCAGACGCTCTATCATATTTATGTAAGGATCTTAAGCTTCCAGCTTTTCAAAATGCAGAGGCCACAGCTATTTTCATCAAAAAATTCAACGATGTATTTGATATATTCAATTCCAGAAATAAATTGGCCAAATATCAATTTAAAAGACCACTATCACCAGCAACGGCTGAACAATTTTTTAGTTTTTTTGATGAATTAAGCAGTTACATAAAAAATTTAAAGTTAGGAAGCATTCCAATCATTCAGTCGCCTAGAAAGACTGGCTTTTTAGGCTTTCTTATTTGTATTACCAGTTTGAAGGGTCTATATAATGCATATATTTTAGAAAACAAATTAAAATTCATATTGACGAATAAATTATCACAAGACCACTTGGAACTTTTTTTCGGTGCAATAAGAGGGAAAGGGGGATATAATAATAACCCAAGTGCAAGGCACTTTGAAGCAGCCTACAAAAGATTACTCGTCCATACTGAAATAACAGGTCCAAGTTCAGGAAATATTTCAGATGGGAATAGTGTAACAATTCTGTCGTGTGGTAGTGGGCGAGAAATTACTGCTACAGATAGTGGAGATGATTTGACAGACAGCAAACAGTATTTAGACTTTGAACAAGACGTCAAAAATAATATACCGACATACATATCATCTTCATCTGCTTGGGACTTGACTGACTATAGCGAAAATGTTGTAGGATATATTTCTGGTTTTGTGGTAAAAACAATGAAAAAATGTGTCACTTGCACAAAATGCAGCAGTGCATTAGAAAGTTCCGAAGTCATTTCTACGTTACAGAGAGTTAAACAATATGGTAAACTTGTAAAAGCCTCTCGATTCGTAATTCAACTATGTACCGCTGCCGAAAAATATTTTAGATTCTTCCACAAAACCACAAATATTTTCAATAAAAATATTCACAATTTATTAGAAACATTGAAAATCAATACGATCAAAACTTTACCACCAGAAATTCTAAGCCATTTTGAGCACCATTTGTTTGATGATGATCCTGTAGATGGGCATGCAGTTCACTTAATAAAACTAATACTCCACCATTATTTCAAATTAAGAATTCACCATGAAACTGCTAAAAATATGGACTTATCAGCAAAAACAAGAGTTCGAATTGTACTAACCAAAACTATTTTATTTAGGCATGAATAATTCTAGAATATAAAAATGTATATACCACAAAAGTCAAAATACTCTTAATGTAGCGTTTTGTATTATATGTTTACAATAATCCAAAATTTTGAATCGGTAAAATCTATAAAATAGTTATCATCTATTCATAATCTAAGATTATTGGTGTGCTAGAATTGCAATAATTCATTTAGTTTCTATCAAAATGTACCCTAACTTTGATTAATACTTGTCCTTTTTTCCATTTTAGGAAAAAAGTAATAGAAGCTTTTGTTAGACAAATAATTTTTGTATTTCTCCAATTTTTATAGAGAGTCTCATTTAATTAACGTTAGTAATTGTATCTTTATTCTTTATATCCTAACCATATTTCATATTATTAATGATTTTCAATGGCATTTCTTGTTACGCTGTTTGGAATCCAAACCATTATTTGTATGAGCTATTTTCTTGCCAGATGAAGGTATTTTATTATTATTATGTAAAAGAACGTGTTCCATAATCTAATGGTGAGTGTATTATAAATTGAAAATAAAACATGAAATTAAACAATGACTTGTTGTGTTCTTCTTTCTCTTTCTAATAGGTACCTCTCCCCTTACTTATTTTTTGAACAGGTCAAGCTAGTAAGTTAAAATTCGGATAGGTGGAATAATAAAAAAATAGCTGTTCAAAATTTCAAGAAGGGTCTGCGCGCTATCATGGAACATTTTTTAAAAGTGGAATGAGGGTAATGCAATATGTCATTTTGTTGCTCGTTATGAATGCTTTATGACCTTCTAGAATATGAAATTATCACCTTTTAAAATGGACAACTCACAGCCTGTCAAATTATAGGCATTTGAACGTTGAGCCGCCTTTAACCCAACATCTACTCATCAACACCTTATAGTGTTTATCTTAATACCACTTTTATAAGAGGTATCCAAATGTGCAATAAAATGAGATATTCATTGTTTTAAATTGCAGATTAAGCGATTCAGTGTAGAAATGATCAGCTGCTAGTACGCCACTTTGAGAGATTGATTTCATATTCTAGGGTTATAAAGTACTTGTATAGATCTTCAAAATGACGTCCAATGCCATTCAGAAAAATTTCCCAAAATGGCGTCTAGGTGCTATCTTGGAAGTTTTCATCCACTATTTTTACATCAATTTTAACAACCCGAATTTCAACCTGCTAACTTAACCAGTTCAAAAAATAAGTGGCAGGACCATTTTCAAAAGAACTGTATTTTCTTGTAGCACACTGAAAATTTATGTAACTATCTAAAAAACGAAATTGATAGATATCAATCCTGTTCCACCTTGAAATCAATAAATTGAAATAACACTAAGCGACTTGTATTTTTTGAAATAAGAAACTTGATTTTCTGGTATATCATAATGTTTATCCATTATGGATTTTTACGCCATCCTACAGTTTTTTAGGTCTCCGATTTAGAAATAGAACTTTTTACCTAACTTTATCAATTAAAATAAAATGTGGCTGACTCGTGTTCTACAGATTGATTAATTCATTATTTCATTGTGAATGCGGAAATATTGTCATCATGATACGCCACTGGTTGTAACGTAATCCTTTCCCTGGCTGGCGGCCATTTTGTTTTCCCCACCAGTCGTCTCTGCCCCCTGACCACCAAGCAATGTTGGAAAATAAACAAATGCGTAATCATGAATGAATCGCAGTGTCTATACTATATATCGTCGGTGGTACAACTATATTTGGAAATGTCAAGTCGAAAAAATTAAATTTTGGGATGGGACTTCCTTCCACTATCGGAGGGCCATCTTGTTCTGTTCCGCTAGTGCTAATTTTCCTGCTTTTTTGCCTGGGGCATCTTCGTTGGATTGTGGAAGAAAATTTCATAGATAATTTCCTGGGTCATTCCTGTTCTGAGTGCGTAGCATCTTTTTTTTGTCTACCCTTGGACCCGAGAAATTCTGCAATTTGTAGGATCTTATTGTCTTCAGCTGCACTTTTCGCCAGACGGAACCACGTGAAAAACCCTACCCGACATCATGTGGGGCTTTTATTTTGGGGAATCTTCACTACTGGAGATCCTTTGACACGTTTTCTACCGGGGACCTCTTTCCAAACAGAGACCCTTGTTCCACCATAGGGATTCTTACGTCATCGGTTTTGAAGCCTTCCTCGCCCATTTTAAATTAGTTAGTCAATAAGCTTTCGCATTAAGGGGGATCTCCTAGGTTGGCTGGCTTAAATTTTTGTTGTTAGCCGTTAGGTAATAAAATGTATTGACGTTAATTTTAGCAAGTATTTACCCACACAGAAAATCTATTATTTGTATGTATTTTTGTTTTTGTTTCTTGGGGTTTTGGGCTAACGAATGCCTTTCAACACCAAGGCGTCTTCCAGTTTTGGCGGATAAAAGCTGGTGGCGCCCCTAAAAAAATACCCCCCCTACTCTCCGGTGTACCTGAGCATAGGGCCTAATTTGCCAACGCTAAACCACGGCTTTAGCCTTAGTAACCCCCTAGTTTTTTTTTAATCATCCATTGCCTCAATTGAGAGAAATAACTTTGGCTTAAAATTAAAAAGTGATCCTAATTAATTAAAAAAAAAGAGCGTTGCAATATTGGTACTTGGGGTGATACAGCGACTTGCAATATAGATATACATTGTCAAACCTTAGTTCATTTGGATCTATTATTAGACTTATCATAACATTAGTTTTTCCCAACCCGGTTGGATCGACAACTGAAGCTCGCTCGTGAAAAGTTTGCCATGTCTCCTAAATGTACCTTCTTGGGCAATCCCATCATAATTTATAACAGGTAATTGTACTACCGTTGGCTCTACCTTCATTGTAGTATGTTATGGATAGAAGTGACGCCAATAGTGCTCCTCTGTCTCCTATATATAAATATATAAAGAAAATGATCATGCGGAGAAAGGTATATAACAAAAAGTAGGAAAATAACGGGGAAAATCCGTATTATACATTGTAGTATAAAATGGCTATAAGTACTAGAATTTTCATGGGCATGTGTATGTTCTTTTGTAGTTGCATATGTGCATTCATTTCGGCCCTGATGAAGCCAACCCGCAGAAATATATACCATATACCTTTCTCCGGATGACCAGTTTCTTTTTGTAGATCCTTTGGGCTTGAAGTGCCACAGCAAGTGTCTGTAACCGGCGCGGTTGTGGTTAGATGTCTCCTTGAAAATTCGAGGTCTTGTAGCCACTTTATATTACAATGTGCACATTCCGTTACATACGCTCAAGACGATCGGTCGACATACGAGTGCTACTGATAAGCGGAAGTGTTTTTCTTTTGGAGATTTATTATTTGGTGTTGTTTGTGTTATTTCCTGGTATTTGGGTAAGGTTTTTCGTAATATTATATATAATATAATAAAAAACAAATTCTATGGATGAAGAATCGGGCAGCTATGAGCCGCCCCAAATAGCAGACTCAGCCGCCAACAATGCACCGGATTTATCATTAAATAAATCAAATGAAAACGATTTCAGGTATGATCTTAGCAATAGATATTTATCAACTGATAAAGGTCCTTATTATGTGTACATGGGGCATAAAAGCAAACATTTAGGTAGACTATTTCCGATAAAAGTACGCCATTTTTTGCAGAAAAATGGAGAATTTAGTAACGACATTCTTGACATACAATCCATGTCTAAAAAGAGTAAATGTACTTTTTAGAACATATAGCACAGCTAATAAACTGATAAATCATGATTTAGTAGTTAGTAATGATTTGATCGCATATATCCCTCACTTCTTTACTAGTAAAAAAGGCGTTATTCGTATGGTCGACACATGCTTCTCTGAGGAATATCTGAAGGAGAAAATCATATCAAATAGTACAGTCGTTGCGGTTAAAAGATTAAAAAGAAAATCCTTGAACGCAGAAACCAATCAGCAGGTAAATAGACAGATGGTGACTTTCTTGGGCAATGAAATACCTAGGGAAGTCGTTATCAATCTCGTGCGATTTAAAGTCGAACCGTACATCCACCCGGTAGTGCAATGTTTTAAATGTTTGAGGTATGGGCATACGGCCTCTCAGTGTGAAGGCAAGGAAAGATGTTAAAGATGTTCTGAGGAACACTCAAGTGACGTCCGTTGTACAATAACATTTTGCGTACATTGTAATAGTGCTGAGCACATTTCAACTTCCAAAGAATGTCCTATGTATAAAAAACAATACAATATTAAAAGAATCATGGCTCTCCAAAATAAATCGTTCAAAGAAGCAGAAAATATAGCAAATAACCTGCCTCATACTAACATCGAGACAAACAATAGATTTTCAGTTCTTAAAACCCTTGACAACTTTCCAGAATTGCCAACCGAGTCTTATTCTACAGTAACCAGTCATATCAGAAAGCCTATCTCCCGGATCAACAACCCGGCTAAATTCCCTACGCCTAAAAGAAGAAAAACATCAGCCTCGCAGCCTACAGCGAGCACTAGTTCCGACTCAAAAAGAGTGACCAGGTCACAACCTATTATCCCGAACCCTTATCGAGAGGAATTTCAACAACATAAGGAAAATATAATACTTCAAATATTTACTCTTATCACCAGTTTATTAAACTCGCCGTCAACAATTTCTAAAATAAACTTAAAAGAACGTATAAACTCTATTCTTGAAACAAGGAGAGATTCAGCCAGTCCTAAAACACACAGAGGTAATTGATATTTCCACATTGAGTGATGACGATTTTGCTACCTATTGATGAATAGTGGTTCAACACACCCTCCAAGGGAAAGGAACAGATATGTAAGCATTTTACAATGGAATGCTCGCTCAATCTGTGCCAACAAAGCTAGTTTACAAAATTTCCTATGTAACAATCACGTAGACTTTATATTAATTTCAGAGCTATGGCTAAAAGAAACTCAGAATTTCGCTCTGAAAGGTTACAATTTTGTTAAGAAATGTAGAGACACCCGTTCTGGTGGTGTGGGCATATTTATAAAGCAGAATATCAATTTTAAAGTAATTACTATCTCCAATAATTTTAACCCTTCTATAGAGGTTTGTACGATCACCGTGAATGACGGGGAATTCAATTTAGTCTCGATATATAAGCCACCAGAAGTTCGGGCATCGCAAAGAGATTGGTGCAATCTGTTTACTCAATTCAGTGATCCTACAATTTATTGT